CCCGGGGCCTTTCCTCTCCTGCCCCCGGCCTCAGTGGGGCTGCCCTGGCTATCGGCCAAGGGGGGGGCTGATTTAGCACTGCTCCCACACCCTCAGGCACCGCCCCTGCACAGCCCAGGAGGAGAACCCCATCCTGGCCTGGACGGCTGCAGGGGGTCTGGGACTTCTGGGCCGGTCCCTCTCGGGAGGGACCCTGGGGAGGCCACCTGCGCTCTCTGCCCCCCCTCTTTCTCTCCAAGCCCAGCGCCCTCAGGGGCTCCCCCAGGATTCTTATTTTCCCCACAGAAGATCCGCCAAGCCGCCTGTTTGCTGCAGCAGAAAACACTCCTTGCTCCCCCCCCCCTTTCTCCTGCCTCTCCCTCCGTTTGCTGCTGCCTTTGCTGCCTCACACCCACACCGGGGGGGGGGGCGGGGAGGGAGACATGACAGAAAGGGCCTTCGCTCTTCTCCTCTTTCGGGGGAAAGGGGAGCTGGCAGGGCAACGGTTCCAGTCTGGACCCAGAAAGTCTCCTGTCCCTAAAAACACTGTTTTCTGTTAAATTGTAGAATCACGGAGTGGGAAGGGGCCTTGAAGGTCATCAAGTCCAACCCCCTTGCTCGAGGCAGGAATCTGAGTCAAAGCCTCGGTCTCTCCTCCTCCTCCTCCTCCTCTTCTTCTTCTTCCTTCCTCCCCTGAAGCTTCCCCGTCAACTCCTCTCCGTCGTCGGCCTCCCTTTTCCTCCTCCAAGACTGTTTTCCTCCCCGGCTCGGCCGGCCACGTCCCTTCACCCCGCCACTCTTTTCCCTCATGAGCTGATGATGCCTGGAGTCTCGAGGCGCAGGCGAGGGCGTTCTTTTGAATCCCAGCAGGAGCTGCCTTTGGAGGAGAGGCCACTCCGGTGTGCTGTGCAAGGAGCCTGCCATCCGATCCCGCTTCCTGTCCGAAGGCGCCAAAGGGATGCTTCGCAGGTATGGGATGGCCGTGGAAGAAAAGGCGCCTGGGGGCCCTTGTCGATAGAAAAGGTGGCAGATCGGACGGTCTCCCTTTTTCTCCGAAACAAGCGCTCCGGCACCCCTGAATGGGCAACTATGACCAAAGGCCCAAATCGGCAGATGACAGGGGCCCAGCGAAGCCCGCCCGATGTCCTTCAAGTCGACACAGAATCAAAAGTGAGGTGTTTTAACAAAAGGAGGGGGGAAAGCGTTCTCTGAAGTGCTTCCAGGGCAGTGCCAGAAAGGCTGACAAGGTGAGGCTTTCCTCTCAAGTGTGAGACCATTCCCTTGAAAAGGAGGGCCTTAAGATCATCTCTCTAGTTTTCCGGCCAGCGAGGGGCACAGAGACAAACCTCGCCAGCCGCAGATCGCCACATGCAGCCCAAAGACTCAAGACGGTTGCCAGCGGCCCCTGAAAGGTCACCGTGCCACGGCACGCTCACCATCCTCTGCCACGGGAGCCTTGGAAAAACAAGCCACCGGGAGGAAGCCGACCACCGTGGGCTGAAGGGTGCAAGGGAGGAAGGAAGGTCTGCGGGCTCAGGTATTCTGGGCGTCGAGGTATTCCGGCTCTGCCTTCTACGCTGCAGGGTGGAAGGTCCCCCCCAATAACTCTTCTCCAGGAGGGGCAGAGAAAGGAAGCAGGCGGTCCCCTTGCCCCACGGTTTTGAAAGAGAGACCTGTCCCCATCTCCTCTCCCCGGCCTCCCTTCCCCCCCAGCTCTGATTTGCCCGTGAAATATGAGGGGACATAAAAAGCCCCCAAACTAGCTTCTTCCAAGGCTGCCATGTCACCTTTATGAGCCCAGAACAAGACGCGGCCATAACTTTGCTGTCCTAAAAGCGCTGCTATTTACTGCCACGCTTGGCCTCGAGCAGCTTTAATTAACATCGGTGTAAAAAAAAATATTTATCCCCATCTTGATGGGGGATGATGAATGCAAACAGATTCTCTTATTTTCCTTGTGGTTCTAGAGGTCCAGGGCTTGGGGCCGGCAAGAGAAAACACTTCTCGGCTGGGTGGTCCTTACGGGGCTAATAAAACACACGGCACACTCCGGGAAGAATCTACGAGGCTCTCTAAAATA